CCCATGGGGGTTGAATTTATCAATTTATGTCTTCGATGCGAATGTCTTCACCATAGTAGCTACAATCTTTAATTTCAGTTCAATCAGTCGAAAATCTAAGAAGATTTATACAAACTTTCATCACCTATTTTATCCCCTTAGGGGTGAAATTTATCAAAATCCTTTCTTAGGGGATGCCTACATCATAGTAGCTTTATGCATGCAAATTTCAGCCCGATTGGTTTAAAATTTCTCGGCTAGTTCTACACTATAACACGCATGTATTATACATATAAATCTTCCTCTTGATTCACTCTATCTATTGCTGAAAACTGCATTAAAATCCATTGCGTAATATTTTATATGTAAAGATAATAGAATGGTGCACCCGCCTGCGCTGACGGTCTGGGTGTCTCTACTCTCTGGGTATATCTACGTATATCTAATATAAATAAAAATGTATCTAAGTATTTATATCAGTTGTTTAGTACCCATAACACAAGCTCTACTTAACTTAAGTCTAGATAGCGCTGTGTGATTTATTCTGAGATATTATTATTATTTATATATTCTTTATTGCACAGATAATACAAAGATATTATAATTTAGAGATAATGTGAGCAAAGGTGGACTTAACACTAGAAGAGATCTCTTCCAGTCAACCTAAAACAGTGGCATAGGTGGTACCGAGTGGGTGATAACTGGTGCAAAAAAAATGTCAAACGCCACTAAATAAAATACAAATAACAAATAGTAGTAAATATTGCTGTAAATATATATTATTCTATTCTATTTAAAATCTAAATATATATAGGTAACTCAAAGGTGACTGACTGACATGGTGATCTATCCACGCACAGCCCAAACCACTGGATGGATCAGGTCAACAGGTAGATGTTATGACGTAGGCATCTAAGGAAGGATTTTGATTATTTCTACCCCCAATGGGATAAAATAGGGGATGAAAATTTGTATGAAACTTTGTCAATTTTAAAGCGATCGGGATGAGACTTTTCATGCATAAAGTTACTATGACGTAGGCATCACCTAAGAAAGGATTTTGCAAAATTTTGCGCAGGCAAAAGCTAGTACATTATAAGTCTATTTGCAAATATACTATATTTATACTATATTTGCAATTACTTTTGTATAACTTCTTTGAAGTAAGTACACAATATAGCTGAAGTCAACTCAAGGTATGTTGTTTCAGGAAATTCCATTGTTTGAAAATACCATTAACAATTCAGTCGCGGTACCTTCCACTGAACTTTTCAGTGACATTTACAGAAGTTTCAGTGCTGAAGTGGGTACATAATTTAGAAGCACGTTATTTTAAACTCCAACTTAAATCTATACTAATACCTATTATAAAACTGAAGAGTTTATTTGTTTTTTGAGCGCGCTAATCTCAGGAACTACTGGTTCGAATTGAAAAATTATTTTGGTGTTGGATAGTCCATTTGTCGAGGAAGGCTTTAAGCTATATAACATTACTCTACGACCAATAGAAGCGGAGCATCAGTGAAAAATTTTGCAAAAACAAGGAAAATTATTCATATTAAATATTATAAGAGTCTGTAATAGACCTACATGAATAAAGGTATTTTGAATTTGAATTGAATTTGTAATATATTTCTGGTGCCATAAGGAATAGGTAAATAAAAATAAATAAACTCTTCATAGACTAACCATGAGGGTTAGTAGCATTGCCATTTCAAAGTACTAAGGTGTCAATCTCATTAGTGTAAAGTTACTGCTATATCTATCTCATTCTACTACCGAAACAGATTACAAAGCATGCTTGGCTACTGAAATAGGTGAGACTGAGGTACACACGAATTTTTACAATAGTAAATATTGTAAAAACTCGTGTTAAATAAATGTCATGAAGCTCTCAAAAGTAAACAAAACAAAATATTTAAATTCAAATTCAATATATCTTTATTCATATAGATCTATTACAGACTCTTACGATATATCAAATCGTCAGTTCGGAATGATTTCGAGATGAGAACTGACAAGAAACTCGATAAAAAATTGGTGCTAGTTTGTGATTTGTCTTCACACGTTTCGACTTGAAAATGTAAACTTACAAGGATTATTTAAAAGAGCAACACACAAGTTTCTTGCTCGTTTTTCTTGTGATGAGACAGCTTTCCGAATGAGCGGTAGATTAAAAAAAATGTTATGACTATTCAAAAGTTTAAACTTAAACTTAAACTTAAATTAAGTTTATTTTAATAAAAGATTTTCTATTCTATTCTATTCTATTCTCAGCTCGTATTATTTTCAAATAAATGTTGTATATGTTTACAATAATACAGATTCATTTTTAAATTCAAATTTGGAAGAATAGAGTGACCACCAGCATATGCTATTTATTGCAAAAGCAAATAGTCTAATCAGTGTTCGTAACCTGAACAGAACAGTCCCCACGAGCAGTACCCGGTCACGAGTATGACGAATATATTGTTGACATAAGAATATATGTAAAGCGAACAACGTATAAACAAATTTATAACAATACAACATTATTTTACTCCATAAAGCAAACCACAGATAAAGTATAGCGCGGTGATAAATTAATAACATCAATACAGAGTAAATATAAGCACAGAATAATTTGCAAAATGGCGTATAGTTTTCGACAAAAGCGCGCGCACTTGTGTATACTTGTTCTTTCAGTTGAACGTCCATTGTATTTGTTAATTATTTAAGTTTTTGTGCGACAATTGCTTTTGTTGAACGAATTAAACGCAAATGTACTAGTGGGTAATGCGTAAATTATAAACTTTTACGTAATTAAACGTTTATTATTATCAGTGTTATTAAAAATAAAGTTAGTGTTTTTTTTTCTTGTTCTTTGTACCAAGAATACTTTTTTATTTTTTTAAAGACTGGCAGGCTACTACTCTATAATGCTATAAATTCGACATCGAGACTGTATAGGCATATCTGGGTATTGTATTGTATGGTAGTAGGTATAAAAAGAATTCGTTGCATTTTTATATCCGGTTACACCTTCTAAACCACGCATCGATTTCGTAACAATTTCCTTTATAAATTAAAGAATTTTAACACAGATTATTATAGCAGAGAAAATTCAAGAATTTCAATATTTGTAATTATGTCATAAACTAAAAAATTTGTTGTGTAAAACATTGTTAGTAATGTGGACTGATGACCCCATTGCTAACAATGTACTACGTCAGGTTGACCTCCTCCTCCTTCCGTGGTTCCCCCTGGAAACCATCGAGTTAAATTCCTGGTGAATTTGTTACGATGGGCTAACTGACCTGACCTCATGCTCATTTAAACATCCTCCACTGGTGCCCCGCCAGCGTAAACCGTTAGCGCAGACGAGTGCACCATTCCATTATCATCCATAAAATAAAAAAATATCTAATCTATTTTTTTATTATAAAATCTATACATGTTAGTGTATTTACTAAATGTAGTCAGTAAAGTTATTTTTGAAACAAAGAAAATCATTTATACTCTAATGCAATGTTAACAATACACAGACCAAACATAACCACAGAATAAAACCACAGAATAATTTGCAAAATGGCGTATAGTTTTCAACAAAAGCCCGCGCACTTGTGTATACTTTTTTCTTTTAAATACGTGTCTATTATGCCTGTTATTTTTTTAATCAGCGAATAAGTTTTCGGTCTACAATTTGCTTTTGTTAAACGAATTCAACGTAAATGTAATCCGTAAATTATAAACGCTTACATAAACATAAATTATATAGAGAATCGTTAAATATAAACTCTACAATGTTTACTCTATTTAATATATTAAAGTTTTATTTATATATAATCATTTATCAACATTACCGCGAAAAATACCTATATGTTTTCTTTTTTTTTTATTTCATAAACAGTCAAAGACAATGCACTAAAGCTATAAATTCACCTACTTTTATACTTGAATCGTTAAATATAAACTCTACAATGTTTACTCTATTTAATATATTAAAGTTTTATTTATAATAATCATTTATCAACGTTACCGCAAAAAAATACTTATATTTTCTTTCTTCTGTTTTTTTGTTACATAAACAGTCAAAGACAATGCACTATAATGCTATAAATTCACCTGCTTTTATATTTACATTATCATATCATATTTTTTCATGAAATTTCGTCAGCTAAGTATATGTTAATGGAACAAATAACTACAACCACAGAATAATTTGCAAAATAGCGCAGATCATTTAAATAAGGATATTTTAATTAGATCCATCGATTCGAATGCTATTGAATACCGCGTATTTGCATATAGGTAGATATTTATTGTTACAATTTATTTATTAAACACAAATTGACACCCTCCTCCAGTCGGTCCCCCGTCGAATTCAAACAGGGATCGAAATTACAACGACCTGAGCCGAAGTTCGAACCCCTAGCAGTGTAATTTATATTTTTAACTCATTCTCTACTGATTCAAACACTTATAACATAATTTTAATTTCAAGGAATAATGACTTTATAATTTCTGTTTATACCTTTAAGTACATATAATTATAATAATAATTACCATGTTTTTATCACAAATAATAAAATGTTTACCTACAATTGCTGCTTATAATAAAATTATGAGGTGTTTTAATCGAGACAAAACGGTCTACAACTCATTGAGTCAACCCTCTCTGCTGTTCTGTTATATCTAAACATCTTAAATAGTAAATTAGTTAAATAAATTACTATATGTATACAATTTATTTAATAAATAGATAAATATTTGCGCAGGACAATAGATAATCTCTGTCTACCCCTATACTGATATCAAACTGAGAATATACCTATTAGGGATGATATATTTATATAATAATTATTTACCCCAATCACATATTATATTCCTAACATCTCTACCATAGACTACAAACTAGTAAATAACCCATCTCCAGATAATCTAGGTACATAAAAAAAGTCTTACAAAAAAGTTTGTTGTTTGTTCTTACTGAGACTAATCTGTATTGAAATAATTAAATACTAATATTAAATAATCCCTACCTTTTCACACAACACCGCAGCCACTTCCACAAGAGCACATCCTATTTATTTAAACAATAGTCCATTTATCACACCAATCAACTGCACTTGCACCATAAACTAATTAAAAAAATATAATCTGTCAAAAAATGCGCGCGCGAAAATCGAACGGATTTGAGGTTAGAAAAACGATTCAAATTTGAGGTTAGGAAAACGCGTAATTCAAATTTGACAGTTCAAATTTGCAAGTATAAAAAAAAACCACATCGATCCGAACTGTAGTGCCGTTCGTGAACCGCGAATGCTTTCAACAACTGGCGAATAACTCTGCCCACTCCCCCTCTACTAAAGGCGTGGCTTGATCATACCCAGCATAGGGCGGGGCGGATTTTTCTCTACCATACACCTATTTATACAGAAATTCTTTAGTCTTATTTTCACGTTCGGCAGTTTATTATTATGTCTGTTTGTTCGTTGAATTTAAATAAAAGTAAAGTTGTCATTTCATCATTGTACACGCTGACGTTTGAGTTTGTTTGTGTTTTAGTTTCGTCTTAATTGTGTTTGTTACTTTTATTTATGTTGGCACTATTTATAGTAAATATTTTATTTACGTTGGCACTATCTATATTAAATTTAATAAAGTAATTATTTATAGTGCATTGATTATTCAATGTGGCATTTAGGTATGATATTTATATGATAATTAATGTTTAATTAAACTTTATTAAATATTATTTAAGTAATAATATTAAACTGAAACTTACTTTCATATTCGTAGGTATTCTTAACATTTTGATATAGTTAAATTATAATTCATTTAAGTTATTAGTTACGTAAATATGGTTTAAAGGGTAACTATACGTACTTACGTGCCTTTTATCAAGATATAAATAAAAACATTAAAGGAAAAATATACTTTAACACATTTTTTTTAATTTCTGTACCAATTAACGTTTAGGATGTACAAAAATTTATGAATGCGTTTCTTAATTAAATAAATAATTAAATTAAAAATTAAACTGTATATCTTTAATCACCTAGGTATATATATAAATAATTTAGAACTGAGTTTCTTGTCAGTTCTTCTCATCTCGAAATCATTCCGAACTCACGGTAGATTTGACATATCATAAGAGTCTGTAATAGACCTACATGAATGAATATTCGTATTTTGTTTTTGATAATTATAATTATATTTGTGTTCTTAGTTAATATAAGTACACATACTATTATGTAGATACTTATATATTATAACAGCCTATACCTACTTACATATTGGGAACTTATTTAAATTTCTATATATAATCTATATATTGTACTAGTTACCTACTTAGACAAAAATCTGCAGATTTTCCCAAGCTGAAGAGGAAACGCCACTACACATCCTATTGGTTGTAGCCCACTCATGCATAAATGAAATATCTCCTTTGGAAAGTTTACACTCTATCCTGAGGAGATAAAATCATCGCTCCTAAGAATATCCTTCAATTCTTCTGCCTCACGGGTCTAGGTAGCGGAGTTTGAAAAAGGGGGAGCACAATAGAACTATGTAGGTCGCAGTGCTACAGGTCTTAGCACTTGATCATAGTTCACGCCGCTCATAAAAAAATAAAAAAAAAAACTTAATTAGAGAATAGACAAAATATATCTTTCTCTATTTAGGTTATATTATCTAAGTCTAGGTTACTTGTTGCAAGACATATTTATGACTTGATTACCCGTGACTTTATCTACGTTTTTGAGAAATAATACCATTGTCCATACTCTTGCAAAAAAATTGTCTTGACGTCGAATTTCATTAAAATCTGTTCAGCCATTTAGTGGAACATGCTAATATAATAGAATAGAAATAGGTATCTTTATTCAAATAAACTTTTGACTAGTTATATTTTTTTATTCTAACACTCATTCGAAACGCAGACTCATCACAAGAAAAATGAGCAAGAAACTTGCGTGTAGCTCTTTTGAATAAATGTTGTTCAAAATTACATTTTTAAGAGTTTTGTGTGAATACAAACTACCAAATAGCAAAGTTGACATAAATAAATGAAAGTTAATTGAGTAACAAAATTAATCAGTCATAGTGATAAGAGCAGACCAGCCCCTACAAGCAGCACCCGTTCACGAGTATGGTGATGAGCCAGCCATCACGGCACTCGACCATATTTTAGGAAACAGGGAGCAGAAGGATAGTTATAGATTACAGACAGGACAGACAGACTTTCGCATTTTATTTACATAAGCTAATTGTACAACTAAGAACCTAAAATTAAAAAGCTTTTAAATATAATATATCTAATGACTAAAATATATTATTAAAAGGGGTCCCTTTAGGCAACGTTCCGAAGATACTGGCAGCGTTCCCTCTTTGAATAGCTAACTATTGTTATTTCGCATTTATATCTAATAATTCATATGAATTCATATTTTTTTTATTTTTGCTTTAACTACGAAAAAAAAATTAAATTTTTTCGACGACGATTTTTGTGACGACCTCGGTGGTCTAGTGGTTTAGCACACCGCTTTACGACCGATGGTCGCGGGTTCGATTCCTCGCACGGCACAAACATTTGTATTCATGAGTATGATTGTTTGTATCGGTCTGGGTGTTTTCTATGTATATATGTATGTACCTATTTACAAAAAAAAAATATCTATGTATATATCTACTAGCTATCTAAAAACACAAGCTTTAGCTAGCTTAACTTGGGTCTAGATGGATGTGAATTGTCCTGAGATGATTATTATTATTATTATTATTAAATTACACTCATTCTTACATTACTTTTTGTACTGTAATAAACTGTGAGTTATAAAAACCTTTGCGTCCTTTCATTTAAATTTTATTTTATTTAAATAAAAAACTTTAAAAAATATATAATATAAATTTATTTAGTTTCATTAATTGTTTTATGTACTTAGTTATATTATTAATTATATTTAAGTTTCTTAAGAGTCGCTGTAACGACTTACGATACTTGAGGTTTGATTCGTCGTACAATACAAACACTTGTATTTATGAATTGACGACCTCGGTGGTATAGAGCACACCGCTTTACGTCCGATGGTCGTGGGTTCGATTCCTCGCACGGTACAATTATTTGTATTCATGAGTATGATTGTTTGTATCGGTCTGGGTGTTTTCTATGTATATTATGTATGTATTTACGAAAAAAAAATCTATGTATTTGTATCAGTTATTTAGTACCTACCCGTAACACAAGCTTTAGATAGCTTAACTTGTGACTAGATGGCGCTGTGTGGATCGTTTACGCATGAGTGGGCTACAACCACATATGGTTTGGACTGTGGCGTTTCCTCTTCAGTTTGGCTGAATGTAAATACATAACAATTAGTGAAATGTCAAAGTATTGCATTTAGTATTACGTCGACATTTAACAACAACTCTGGCTATACAATTTAGGATTCCAGTCGTGAAGGTATGTCAAAAGGCGTGAATAGAACGTTCAAGTATTTCTATCGAGTTTCACTCAAACGCTCGACAGTTAAAACGTTCTCACCTGCCCCCAGAGGGGATGGGGTGGCGAAAATAAAAAGAACCACTCAAAAGAGGGCGTTTTTTTAATTAGTCAACATTTTTAAGTGCAAGTGCCTTTAAGATGAATGCTGCGTTGAATATTGTTTAGTTACTTGAACAAGTGCGATGGAGATGGAATATTTAAGTAGAAACAAATAAATAAATAGTATTATATAGTTATTTTTATAACTCGCTCATATAATGCGAAGTGACGAGGATTATGAGGTCAAAATAGCCTTAAGGCTACCCACACGAAAAAGAGGTAAAGGACGTCCTCCATCCTCCTGCTGGACCAGCAAGAGTAAGCTGATCGCTGAGGAAAAATTGTCTGACCCGACAACCCATTACAGAAATGAAATGAATATTTATTGCTTAAAAATGTGGTACATGTGTGGTTTTTAAGGGCTTTTTGTTTCACACATTTTGTCATTTCTGACAGACAACAGACAAAACAAATGTCAATTTTGGTTGTTCTTATAATTAAAGAGCCATTATTTATATGTCAATTACTTATTAATTAAATATTTATAAATGATACATGTCAATGTTTTTAATCGTAGGTATAAGTACACTGTAGTTAGTTTTGTTCATTAACCATCTATGCAGTTCTTTCTTAAATTTATTTCGACTTAAATTGACCTGGCAGATTGACCTGACACCGAAAAATTAGGAGAGCCGTCCTCGCATAAAGTGGGACAGTGCTAACAGTAATAAGAAGAGTTATTATTATACGTTGCTCGTGTAAACGCAGCACTGCACCATTAGCGTAGAAAAACGGGGGAAAATAAGACTTTGTAGTCATAAAACAAAGATAACGCGGCCGAGGACGCAGACGGCTTTAATTAAAAAGTTTCAACTGATACACAAACAGAGGAAATTCACAATTTTGTATATAGATATATTTGGACAACTACCCATCCGCCACGGTTCGTATGGATCTAATTGTAGGGAATTGTTTTTTTATTAATTACAACTCCAGCTATGTAGTTATATTATAAGATTGCATTATTGGGGGGACGGGGCTTGTTAGTAATGTGGACTATGACCCCATTTCTAGCAAGGTACTATACTGTCCTCCACGCGGTCCCCCCTGGAAGCCGTCATGTCTCAGACGTCCATATAATAATAATCTTTATTTGTCTCAAACAAAAACTTTTCACACAATACAACTGTTGCCCATACAATAATATAATTTAAAACTAATGAATGAGACAAGTGGCTATGGGCAGGGCACATAGCTCGTAGGGCAGATGGCCGTTGGGGCAGTAAAGTCCTCGAGTGGCGACCACGAACCGGAAGACACAGCGTGGGAAGGCCTCCAGCAAGGTGGACCGACGATCTGGTCAAGATCGCTGGAGGGCATTGGATGCGAGCAGCGCAGGACCGATCGTCGTGGAGATCTTTGGGGGAGGCCTATGTCCAGCAGTGGACGTCTTCCGGGCTGCGATGATGATGATGATGATGAGTGAGACAAAACGGTCTATATCTCAGTGAGGGCAGTGAGTCCACCCTCTCTGCTATTCTGTTATAGACTTTATCAGTAAAATAATACAATATGAGATCAACGACGACGATAGCATATTAAGTTAAGTTCTAAACTACAATTAACAAAGTAAACATAAAAATTGACAATAACAAACTTAAATATTTGTAATCTAAACATCTATAATAGTACATTATTGTGCAAAAAGTTGTTAGTACTGTGGACTAATGATCCCATTGCTAACAAAGTAAGATGTCAGGTTGACTTCCACGCGGTCCCCCCTGGAGAGGTCATGTCTCAAACGTTCATAGGCTACGGTAACCATTTACTTGTTTACCATAGTGGTATAAAAAAGAACGTGATAAATTTCTAGTGAATTTGCCATAATGAGCTTAACTCTTCTGACCTCATGTTAACCATATTATCCTCCACTATGTCCCGCAGCGTATACTGTTAACGAAAGTGAGTGCACCATTCCTTTATCGACTATTTAGAAACACTGACAAGGAGGGGGGAAAGTGCTTGTTAGTAATGTGAACTAATAACCCCATTGGTATTATACCATGTCAATTTCCCCTTGAAACCATTGTGATAAAGTCCTGATGAATTTGCCACAATGGGCTAACTGTTTGATTTAGGAGGGAAGGGGATTTTTAGTAATGGGAACTAGTAACTCCCATTGCTAGCAATGTACCATGTTAGGTTGACCTCCACGCGGTTCTCCCTGGAAACCATCGTGATGAATTCCTAATGTTTTTGTCATGTTGGACTAACTGACCTGACTCATACTCAACGGTTTATGACTTGATCCACAAAAAAAAACTGACCTGATCTCATGGTCATCATCCTCCACTGGTGCCCCGCCAGCATATACCATTAGCGTAATCGGGTGTACCATACCATTATCATCCATTATTAATAAATGACATGAAGTCAACGCGCATGACTCAATAAAAAAAGCAAATAAAAATCACTAACTGTCCAATGAAGATGTATATCAGTATTACTATAATAACACGCTCGGTCATATCTAAAACAGTATGCTGAATCGTTTTGCATCGAGTTAGATAATTATCTTACTTGCCAATTTGCTAGATAAGATCTCTGCGAGTTTCTGCGACGTGTAGCGCCATCTGTCATCGAGTAGGAGAAATTAATTTGTATGGCGCCATCTGTTGTTGTGCTTTCTTACTTGTAGTTATAAAGTTTACTTATAGTTTAACACTATTTAACAACAGATGGCACTGTAAAGATTTTGCAGTAATATTTTTCAGTTTGACTTTTACAACTAGACGACTTTTTCGCTTCAATAACTTAATGTATTAATATTATCAAATAAATGTATTTTCTACACAAAGAGATGCGACTTTAGTGCATTCGCTCACGTTTTTTAGGTTTTCTTTTGTTCAGGATGATGGGTACAAAGGACGGGAGATTAGGTAGGCCATAGTCCCAAATTGTTTAAGTCTCTGACTTTGACAAACCTCCCGTGAAACCATATTCCATATCACCAATTTATAGCTGCAGCGGTCCACCTGGGTTCCGGGTCTATTGATACATTTACAAGTACAGTCAACCCTCCTATAACGCGGTACTCTCAGAACGCGGTTTCCATATAACGCGGAGCTGAAATTGCGACAGCCCTCCTATAACGCGGTACTCTTACAGCGCGGTTTCCGTTCAACAACGTCCCATCAGTTCTTTCCGTGCACCCAATGAATGGTTTTAACTGGATATGTTTATATCAGTGTGGTTCACGGGTGGGGCTCCTCATGCGCTATCTTCCACTTCTATTAACTAAATAGTTTCGCATCGACAGCGTGCCATGCGTGTGTGTGTCTAAGGAAACTGTAACATGAAAGATATATATGTGATCTTTTGACTACATTGTCGCGTGAACTATAGAAAAACTACGTTCTGCCTTAGCCTTAGCTTAAAACCAATGTGAAGATCAACCAAGTGAGGAAGACATTTTGCCCATTAAAAGAAGGCGAGTTAGGCGACTCATATCTGACAGTGAGGCTGAGTGTTGAAAGATTACATCATTTTACAAAAGTCTTTCTTTTGTTTTTGTTGGAAAACAGTTTTTTAGTTTAGTTTTTGTTTCATTTTTTTCATCATTTCCTTATTTTTATTGAATTGAAGAGTTCATACTCTTCAATTCAATAAAAATAATTTATAATTTATCTTGTCTTTTGTATTTATTGGTCTCCATATAACGCGGTACGAATGATGTGATTTGTACTTATTCTGAGTCTCTTATAGCGCGGTTTCCATACAACGCGGTAGACGGTTTCCATAGAACGCGCTACGAATTAGCCTGGTTTGTATGGTTAAATCCGAGTTTCTTATAGCGCGGTTTCCATACAACGCGGTACGCACTCACCGCGTTATAGGAGGGTTGACTGTAGTCCATAGCAAATCGCTGCCTGGGCCAGATGTTCGGCTTGTTGGATAAAGTCCGAATTAGCGGGATTGTGTTTGTCAGATTTGGGTATAAGTAAACAGGACAGATCTTATTAAATTTTGACATGAAGACAGTTAAGTTCACAAATATTTTGTCTCAAAACAGTCATAATCGCGTGTTACAGCAGCCATTCACCATAAATTAAAAATTAAAAAACAAATAGAACAAAGGCATTTTAATATTCTACAAACAATAATTTTGATCAATTACAAAAACTGAATATAAAAAAACTTATTAATTTGCGAATAATTTTATGACTCCATTCAAAATATAATTCTCTATAATATTTAAGACAAAAAAATTAATTCTACCAAAATTGAAAGATTTATGTTTTTGTCTTAAACACGAGGTGTATCTTTAGTCCATATTCGGAAAATAGTCATACTTTAGAATAAACCTTTACTATTCAACTTTTCGTCTCTCTCTCTCTTTCAAACTGTTCTTTTTTTAAAAAAAAACCATGTATATAGCGACAAAAATAATTACATAAAGAAATAAGAGGCAAATAAATTCAAATATTTCGTTCTAATATTATTTCGAATTAAATTCTTAATTTGAAAAATATGACGGAACGTAATCCAACATTACTGAATGCAAATAAATTTAGACCTTGATGTATGGCTCCCAAGGTAAAAATTTAATAAAATGCAAAATCGACATTTATTTCAAACTAAATTATACCTTGAATTATTACTGTCAGAGTTAAAAATTATTAAAATGTGAAATAGACATTCGTTCGAATTATTATTTGTTTTTTTTTTTAATTAATTTGTCAGACAAGGGATTTTTGGCCATTCTTCTATAGCTTCTTATATCATTAATATTGCGCGGATCTGACAGATCAAATGTCAAACAGTGAATGACCATTGACACTTTTTGTTTTTAATTTTGTCGCTGCACACACATGGTATTGAGGTTAAAATAAATTTAAATTAGGAATCTTTTCTAAATGGAATACACTGGCTGAATATTTTTGTCTATTAAATTTAATTGTATAATAAAAATTCTCCCTCCAACTCGTTGGTTTCCTGCACTACACATTTGGAGTTGGCCTCGAAGTCGCACTGTTGGGTTGCCGCGTTGAAAAACAGGCCGTCCGTACAGTAGGCCACTTGTGGAACTCCATTTAGACATTTCCAGAATCGTTGGCAATCTCGTCTGGAAAGAATTTATAATTTTAGCGCCATCTTTCTTTTATTTGAACGAAACGGTTATTCCGTATCTGAATCGATTATAAAGTGCTGTTATAAGTATACTTGACGATCGTGATCTAGCAGTTTAGTACAGTTTTAAATTCGATTATCGCGGGTTCGATTCTTTGCTTGATGCAAACGTTTATATTCTTAAGTATGATTGTTTGTATCGGTCTGGGTGTTTTCTATGTATATTATGTATGTACTTATAAAAAATATATCTATATATTTGTATAAGTTGTCTAGTACCCATAACGCACTTATCTTGGGACTAGATAACGTCGTATGAGTTTTCTGGAGTTATTATTTAATATAATAATATTATATGTAGTTGCTGTTGACGGGTATGGTCTAGCGGATTAGCATACCGCTTTATTTCTTATGGTTGCGGGTTCGATTCTTTGTGTGATGCTAATGTCTGTGTTCATGGATATGACTAGGTATTTGTATTGCTCTGTGTATAAATGTATATTTATATATTATATATCGTGCAAATGGCCCTCAATAACTAATTAATAAATATTTAGGTATATAATATTTATTAATTACTTTCTCAAAATAGCGTACTCCTTCGAGCAACGGCAGTTACCATTTACCATCAGGTGGACTGTCACTTGTTAGCCTTTTCGATATAAATGTAACAACCCCGGGCACACCACACTGGTGCTCCCTGTCGCCCCTCCAATCGATCCCCCGTCCGTCGAACGGGATCGAAATTACGACGGCCCGAGCCGAGGTTCGAACCCCTAGCGATCTAAAGTCCCCTTAGACTAAAGTCGTATCCGTCAGGCGGGAGTTGGCTCCATAAGTCCTTCCTTTGGTTTGGAGTGCCATCTGCACTCGCCCCCTATCGTCCGGTGAAGCTGTAAAGGCCAGCTGCGGATAACAGCATTAGAGTAGTCCGAAAAAATTTTAACATCTCTTACTTGTAAGCAACTCTGATCGATGCAGTATCCACTCGTTGACAATTCAGTATGGCGTCGAAAGATGTCTGCAGTCTAGTGTTTTCCACGTTTACTGGTCTGGCAACATTCGATAACTCATCTGTGGAATATAAAAACATTAAATTTACAAATAAAATTATTTAAATTTGGTATCAAAAATTCAAAATATCTTTATTCATGTAGGTCTATTACAGACTCTTATGATATGTCAAATCTATCGTCAGTTCGGAATGATTTCGAGATGGGAAGAACTGACAAGAAACTCAGCTCGTATTCTTTTCAAATAAATTATTTACATGTTTACAATAATACAGATTCATTTAAGTTCAAATTTAGGAGAATAGAGTCCACCAGCATATGCTATTGCAAAAACAAAAAATCTAATCTGTGTTCGTAAGTTGAACAGACCAGTCCCCACAATCAGCACCCGTTCACGAGTATGACGGATGATGATATCTACTATATTAATGAGGTATATACGATACTTTTTCTATTACGCTTTTGCTTTCCACAATAATAATAAATAACCCTGGCCAATTAACACAGCGCCATCTACGGTAGGTACAGCTTGTGTTATGAGTACTAGACAACTGATATAAATACTTAGACACTTTTTGTAAATACATACATAATATACGACCAAGAGGGATGAGATTTGTTAGTAATGTGAACTGATGATCTTATTACTAGTAATGAATGGTTCATTACTAGTCAGGTTGACCTCCACACGGTTCCTCCTGGAAACCATCGTGATAGATTCTTGGTGAATTTGTCACGATGGACTAAATGACCTGACCTCATGCTCATCTTATGATCCTCCACTGGTGCCCCGCCAGCGTAAAGTGTTAGTGCAGGCGGGTGCACCATTCTATTATCATCCATGAAACAAAAATATACGACCTGCGAACAAGTACTAAATAGATTTATCCAGTAGGTATTGTACTAAATAATAAGTACTAAATGTACTAAACAGAAGTACTAACTGACAAAAGAACTCATCATATCGGCCGTCAGCTTCTTTGTCATTCTATTTGAAGAACTACCTAGTTAACTTTATCAATATTGCACTTAATAATAAGTACTAAACTACTAGATGTACTAACCGACGAAGGAATTTTCCTCCTCTTCCCTAAGGAGAGATGGGTCGTCCCCTGAACCTTCCACCTCGTCCGGAGGCGTTCTTAATGTACATGTCGCCCTCCAGTCCCAATCACAACCCTGGAAATATTAAGAATAGAATAGAATAGAATAGAATAAAAATCCTTTATTCAAATAAACTTAATTTAAGCACTTTCGAATAGTCATAACATTTTTTTTAATCTACCGCTCATTCGGAAAACTGTTTCCTCACAAGAAGAACGAGCAAGAAACTTGCGTGTTGCTCTTTATAATAATATATCTGTTGTAAGTGGAATTTGCGATTTTTAGAATTAGATCGAAAGTTAGGACGAAAAACGACCGAATAACAATACCTGAAGTTGGAAGTCGAAAATGAGGTCACCAGGACACTGGAACTGTACCTCCTGGCCGTGGGTACACATGTAGAAGACCGTACAGTCGGTATAACTGGGAAGAAGCAGGAACTCCTGCAATTTAAGGAAGTTTTATTGAATTAAAAAACAATTATTTATTTATTTATTCAAATAACACAATATAAACTTACAGCTAATTTCCAACACGTTTATATTTTAAAACTATTATACTTATACACTACTTAACTATATAATAACAAAAACATTCTTATTTTATTTCTTAATAGCTGTTTCCCGCGACATCGTCCGCGTGGAATTTAACTTTCATTTTCTAAAATAAAAGTAGCCTAAGTTATTCCTTATTATTATATCTGTTACCTGTCAATAAAAGTCCGTCAAAATCGGTCCAGCCATATCAGAGATTAAGTGGAACAAACAGATAGACAAAAATTGTAAAAAAATGTTTTTTTGGTGTATGTACAGTATTTATATTCATATGCATGTAGTAAAAAACTGATATATCAATATTACAAACAGACACTCCAATTTTATTTATATAACATTTAATTTAAAAAAGAGTATATGTTGTTGTATTGTAGTGTAATTTTTATTTAAACTCTGTTGTAAAATGTGTATTTCTTGATGTAAATAAAGTAAATATATATATATATTATTGTTATTTACCAAACCAGCTGGGTCACACGAGACGGAGTCGGGGTCCACTCCCGCCAGGATTTTGAACTGACTGATGGCACTAGCCTTCACGGCCGCAGCCAGCATCAACACGAAGGTAGCTTGAGCTGTTGACAAGCAAAAATATAACTTATATCTGTTGTCTTAAAAGTTATTTTAATTGTATCTACATTTTATTTACGTATAAACATATATGTAAGAGCGGGTATTGATACCAGACGAATCATCCTGACGATTGTAAGATCTACTATAATGACGACGACTTAGGCTTTGAAGCCGGCTACCACAAGGGAAACCCCAAGTAGCGCCCGTGACTTGTGACACGGGTGTAGGTTTAAAAGGCCCTTTTAGAATGCATTAACACTCACCTTCACTACTTGCAGGTTTCCCCCAGGCCCAAATAAGACCGGGATAAACCCATTTGTAATACAATTCACTTTAGTATCCAAAACACAACCGGCACGCTCTGCGCTCGTCGACTGAATGCCGCGGCTCACGCAACGAAAGAGGATTATTCAACTACCGACCTCCGTATTTATAGACCAAAGTCAGTGTAGTAGGTTGGTCTATAAGTACTAGATGGCGCTATTTACAATATTTATAACAATCCTTAACTTTAATACTTCAATATGTTAAATATTAATTAACAGTGATTTGATCAATATAGGCCTAATATAACTAAATTAATCAATTAACAATGAAAATAGTCATTGTATTTAATTTGCGCTATCATATATATATATATACATACTAGCTGACCTTGCATACGTTGTTTTGCCATATAAATTAGAATCGCTATAAAAAAATTGGAGTTGGTGATAGAAGGTTGAAAATTTAGGGTTGTAAGTATTTTTTAATACCACATTATAAAAAAATACAATAAATTTTATGTGTGGACAACCCCTATCACTAAACACTATAAAAAATAGATAGTAGCCTATTCTCAGACCTACTGAATATGCGTATAAAATTTCATAAAAGTCGGTCAATCAGTTTCGTAGGGGTATGGTAACTAACATTGTGACACGAAATTTTGTATATAAGATATTATCACTTTATTATCTTTCGTATATTCTCCGTGGTGATATTGGAGGAGGTGATTGATCTACAAAATTCTTAAATTCAAATTCAAATTTATACATGGACAACATTTTAGCCGCTTACGATCGTCAAATTTTTTACATTAAAGTTTTTAATTTTTTCCCTACCGTCCAGTTCAGTATATAGACCCAATTGAGAAGAACTGGCAAGAAACTAAAGAAATCATTACGTGTTTAATGACATATGACAGTCCCCAAAATAATTGATGGCTGGAATAGATGAGACTGAGGTATCCCCTTTGTTCAAAGTCTACTAGGTTATTACTTTAATCTAAAATCGAGTACAATGCACCCGGAAAATATTTCATTTTGTCATACACGTGATAAAATCTTGATTAAATGCAATTTACCAATGTAAATTTCCATAATTACATTATCAATACATTTGAAATGTACTGATTTATATGATAATACGCCTATGTGTTGATTTGTTTTTGTAATTTAATATATAATTAGTAGATACACATCTGTTTTACATAGCAAATTAATTAATAATTAGATCGCAATTGCAGATTTCGCGGTTTGGAATTACCCTCGACGTTATTAGATTTGTAATAATTACTAATCAATCTACAACTACCTGATATCATGATTGTACCTGTCATTTACAAAATTAAATACGTAAATACTATTACTCGAAAAATTCGATACTTTTTTTCGAAATAAAGCATAGCCTGAGTGCACCATCGTGATGCAATCTTAAATGATATTTTATGTATAGCCCCTAAACTATAAAGAACGAATGCCTGAAGTGAACGAATCTTATTTCATTCAGGCCAGTGATTCTAAAACGGTGCGATTACGCCTGCGATGAGTGCTTGTGCCTTGGAAGAAAAATTAACTCGCAGACAATTTTGTACACTCATCCCTATTTTTGTAAATAAAGTTATGGTATATTTATCGGTGTTTTTTACCAACACAATGTAAAATGAAATAAGTAATGCAATTCAATACAATAAATTCCCCATTGTTAACTATCACCTTCTCGCCCATAGACAAATCAATGTCGGACATTTTAACCACTTATGAACGTCAAGTTTTTTGCATTAATATTTTTCCCTACCGTCCAGTAAAAAAAATTCAGTAAAAAGTAGTATACAGATTAAATTGAGAAGAACTGGCAAGAAACTCAACAGAATTACTTTTTTTTAATTCAGTTTATTTAAATTGTACACTTATATAGGTATTTATGTAATGTTAGACATAGCTAACATTAACCCGTACATGAACAACTATTGCCATACACATTTGTCGTTTAAGTGAGTGAATAGGCTTTGCTCGATGAATATGATTTAACAGATGACATCTTATCATGCATTTAATCTAGTTACTGGCCTAATCACTATCTTATAAACGTAATTGTACGTTTTACAAATACATATATATATTTTAATGTTTCAAATAATAATAGTAAGTAATTACTGTACACAATTATATCCTAGACCTTTACTATAATTAATTTAAGTATATTATAGTATTATCTCGATCCTAGACACGCATAATAACCATGTAAATAGATGTATTCAGATAACAAATATCTACAAATTCGATAATTATTCAATAATCTTAGATGTACATGATATTATAGTGTATTTGTCATATCTAATTTGAATGATTGTGGATTAGTCGTCATCGGCAAATAGTTTATACTATTTCTACGTCATAGGCCTAATCCACAAAGATGGATGGTTTCCTCTGATTATTATTATATACTCGATTACAACAATTCATTGTATAGATATAACAGGCCTACAATAGAAAACTAAATATACCTACCACGGATTAACTATCAGTATACAATAATGTTTATGCTATTTGTAATATTTATAAATAAATCTATTTACTTTGATAGTCTGTTGTTTCTTTGAATTAAATAATCAAAGTTTATGTTTATGTTCAATATAAGAAATTTAAGGGTAATTGTAATTGGGAAAAGTAAAATATAAAGGTTGTAAAATTTACAATATTTCAATTTAAATCAGTATGAGAATTAATGTAATATTATAAATATATTATTTTTGTTTAGATAAACCAAGTAGTTCTGAATAGTAATTTTGCGGAGATCTTTGGGAGAGGCCTATGTCCAGCAGTGGACGTCTTCCGGGCTGCGATGATGATGATGATGATGATGAGTAATTTTGCTGATAAGTATTAAGCTGTCAAATGACTGTAATGTAATTGACTTCTAAAACATTGTAACTACCGCCATGTACGCTCTAAATAAACGAATACCTCGAAAATGGACAATTTATAGTATTTTCTTATAACTAGTTTATGGACTGTGTGATGTTTGTATAGAGAACTTTATTATTGTAATATCTACGTATATGACTAGAACTATGCTTTGATGCAAGAAATAGATAATTTGGTAGCATCTTCCATCTCAGGACTGATCAATCAACTGCAGTAAACAGGCTAGATTAGTCTGCACCTAGTTACTGAGTCCTTTCTGCTCACTACTTACTTACACATCCACAATGTTATACTGCCCTTTCACCTGAATAAGATAGATAATTACTTATCTGAAGAGACATAAAATTGCAATACATAAACAATTAAAACGATTATATACGTTACCTAATACCCTATATTGGTTTTTCAGAATTTCACTTCACTCATTTACCTACGGGATGATAAAATCAGGTGCATATTTGAGATAATATGCTGATAGTGATTATAATTGACAAATAATACCTACTTAGCTTATCTTCATGTGATTATTCAGTAGGAATACATTTCATGCAACTTCCTCTTATCTCCAGATTACTATAAGACACAACTAGCAAAACACAGGAAAATATACCAGTACAAAAATAGTAAATTCTCACGGTATATAAGACGTTAGATCAACATGGTATGCTAATAGAATAGGATAAAATAGAACATTATTTATTCAAATATGTAAATGTGCATTGAATCACTTTGGAACAGTCATCACTTATTTTTTTAAATCTACTGCTTATTCAGAAAGTTTACAAGAAGAACAAAGAAGAATGCGTGTTGCTGTTTTAAATAATTTAATATTTAATATATATCTCTCTCTCTCTCTCTCTCTCTCTCTCTTACGGAAAGAGATTCCTGTAGTAGAACCTAATTAAATAATTCTTAATTTAATAAAAAGTCCAAATACATTGTTTAAATTCATAGCATTAATAATATTTATAATATTTCTGGACAATTCACACGGGGTTATCTAGTCCCAAACTAAGCAGAGCTTGTCTTATAGGTATTAAACAATCACTTGTATATTACCCATTAAACGAGCTCTATAAATATATAGATATATATTTTGTTGCGAGTACGTACTTAATATAAATAGAATACAAATAACTCTTTGGCTCAACTGAATAGTCAAACGAATCATCAGACATATCGACATTCGATTCAGACATTTCGAATGAGATTATTGTCATTATAATACTTCTACATACTCTATCTATCTATCTCTAAGGTATTTGTGTGTATATCCGATCTATAACGGCTTTTACGTTTGATATATGAGGGTATTAATTGACAAGCTGGGGTGTAGACTATGTGATTAAAGTATGAGACCGCCATAAATGAAGTGGATTATTACAATTCTATAAATAATTCTGAGTAAGCGTCGTAGCTTAGTGGTTTACTATCGTCAAGTTATTGTAAGTTCAAATCTAGCCCTCATCAAAAAACATTACATTATTATATGAATGACTGAATTTTCTGTAAAGAAAACATGTAAGTTTGCTCCCCAACAGAGGTCAGGTTACCCATTCATTCATAATTTAAGAGTCACGCTCCTATCAGTGGAACTCTTGCCACTTTCCACGATCTTCCATCGTAGTCTTTAAATGTTGATACGACACGTCTCCAATTTTGTCTTTAACTTGATGTAGCCTTAGGCTTCCCCACTAGGGAAAATAGAAGGAAAGAGGGGTCTTTCCTTCTATTTTTCCTTCAATATCTAATATTTTTCATAAATACTTATAGGTACCCAAGGAAATTTATTCATGAAAAGAGATAGTGTTGCGTTCACTTGATGTTAACAACCGATAAAACTTACTACTTCATTTGGTATACAGTTGTTATACTATATAAAATTAATTATTACGCAGAGTTTTAATAGGTTTTCCTGTTCCGGCTGACTCTATACTACCTACACTCATTATCTTTACAATTTATCTAATATTTATATAGATATCCTATCATACAGCGACCAATAGTGCGTATTAAAGTATATACAAACAATAAAACTTGTACTGTAGAATTCATCGCCTTATTATTTAAATTTTACAGGTCAATACTATAAATCTGCTAACATATACATTAGGGATATTTCGTTAAATCTTTTAATTAATGCCAGTGTTGTAAAGAAAGCAAGAAAGAGACATATAAAGAGAGAGGAGCGATTTTGTGATGAAAAAAGAGATTAATTTGGACCGGTATCACATATTCTTTTATTGTTAAAATATTACTACAGAGTAACATAGGCAATTTTTAAACAGAATTAAATAACAAAAACCCGCGAAGTCGGGGCCTAGTGTAGTGCCGGAGGGACTAGTCATTGTATACCAGTTCTAAATCATAGTTTTGAATAATAATAATAATAATAATTGATTATTTAAAACAAAATAACAGTAACGATGAGTTAATCTGTGAAATATTCCAATGTAATGTATATAAATGTATATAAAATTATGTTTTTATGTACATATTAAAAAATATATTAGTCTTCTACGCTTCTTCTCTATAGAAACTATAAGTGTACAAAATTTTTGGTACAAGTATTAATGTAATTGTAATAAGTGTTCTATTTTTTTTAAGAAACAATATGATATTAATTTTGCTGAAGTGCTAGTTTGCGTTTGCAAAATATGCATAGGACATGTTTTTTTTATTCTATAATAGGGTGGTAGGCGAAATAAGTTTGAGGACCTATGATTAGTCTACATTGAGCTGGCTGTGTCAATGTTGCCAGTTCGGAATATTTTACCCTAGTATTAAGGTAGTTTTAGACTACATGCTAAGAAACTAAAAATGGCCTTACCGCTTAATTTAAATTGGATCGTTCAGTTAATCATTAAACGTATTAAGTAAATAGTAGAGTTTTTCTATGGAGTACCATATTTCTTTTTATTACATGTGTGTGTAAATTACAATGATCTAAAAAGTAAAAAAAATCTAGCTTGGTCACATTATGATATACAAAACATAGGGACAATATATCTGTAATCATAATACCCACATTCATTCGTAAAGCAACGGTAGCATGTATAAATTTAAATATGACGAATGAGCCGAATTGTGATAGGATAATTGCAAATGCAAACATGAAGATTAGATAAATTATGACGCTATACGAAGATTGATCGCTAACGTAATGTATATTGCTAACTTTTTAAAAGAATTAATATGAATACAAATTCTTTCATTGTGCAAAGAAAAAGTTTTAATTTTGGCAATACTGTACAGTGACAGTGACACGTTAAGCACAGATTAATTTTACGAATCTTCAATCCATATTTCATTCGTTCATTTGGACATCTTTCTGTCAAATTCAGCCCCTCAGTCGTTAAATCTGTATTGAATGTTTTTTTTGGGTCAATGTTTTCTTAATAGTTTAATGTAATCAAAAGGTTATTTTTGAAAGAATTTACAAATATGTCTTCTGATTCCGAAGACGATTGCTACGGAAACGTAGCACAGAAACTACAGAGTATGAAAAACAAATACAGAGACGATAAAATTGAATGTACAAATCTGCTCAACGAGTCGGCGACATCAACAAACGAATTGGATGAAATTGTGAAGAAAGCTAGTTTTCCCGCCAAAACTGAGTTGTCGAAGGTTGCCGAAGTTGTAGAGGTTATTAATGACACGGACCCTAAGGATAATTGTGAGGATTTCATTGACAATTTGTTAGCTAATGCATCTACTAAAAGAGTTACTACGGCTAGCGCCAAAAAAAGGAATTTAAGTGTTGTAACATCAGAAATTAACACTCCCAAGCCTTCTAGAAGAAAGAAACGCGTGAATAATGAAGAGATTCCATCAAATACAGATAATAATGTTAATAATAGAGAAACAGAACAGAATAGAGGCAGAGGTAGATCTAGTCGTGGTCAGGGTAGGCGCAATCGAGGTAGAGGGAGAGGAAGAAGTAGACAATCTCAATCAGGTGTCAGCAACTGGTTATCACAAGAAATCCCCACATTCAGTGTTGGCAACACCGATGAATATCCAGACCAAAGTAACGAACAACAATTATTCAGTAATAAGAACAATGATGTTGTTGTTATAGAGGAAGATCCTCTAGATGTCAATGAGGAGTTGTCAGTCAAGGTTTACTGGCAAAATACAGAGTTTTTCAAGTTCAATATACGTAAATATCAAAAATTGACGCAAATATTTGATTATTTCGCCAAGAAGGAGAATATTAGTAACGATAAGGTATTACTGACTTATAATGATAAAGTGATAAAGCTAACTGACACACCAGACTCTATAAAGTATAATATTGTTAAGTTCATAGATGGGGGAATTGTTAATCAAAGTATTTCTAAATTTACAACGATCGAAAATAAACCATGTGTAGACGATGGTATAAGAATCAAATTTCAGTGCCAGAATATCAAATTGCCATTTGTGACAACAATAAAATGGGAGGAGAAGTTATCATTGGCCATGATGAAGTGTTCAGAGCACTTTGAATTGCCAATCAATAAACTACGTTTTGAATTTGATGGTGACACTATATCAGGTAATATTTTAATTCCTTTTATTCCATCATAACAATTTGCCCAAAAATTTATCATGATGGTTTCCAGGGAGACGTGTTTTGGAGGTCAACCTGACATGGTACATAGCTAGCTATGGGGATTATTAATTCACATTTCTAACAATACCCTTGACCCCATGGAAAACAAGTTTATTACCCCATACACAACACTATGGACATCGCATTTTCATATGATACCACTCATGTGTCACCATTCTAGAGGACTAACAAGTCTCTTATCCTGTAATTTCACTGCCTAATCTGCACCCTATAACTGAAACACACAATTTAAAAAACAAGCTTTATTGGCTTGGCTGAAATAGATGAGACTAAAGTACACATACAGACAACTTTTTACAATTATACGTAAAAAAATCTTGTATAGATTGTATACAAACTATCATACTGATAAATACTTGCATGGTGCAAACATTTGTATTCATGAATATGACTGTTTGTATTGGTCTGGGTGTTTCCTACGTATAATATGTATGTATTTCGGAAAAAAAACGTATGTATTATTATATAAGTGTCTAGTATTCATAAAACAAGCTATCTTGGGTCTAAATGGCGTATATAACTTGTCTAGTAGCTATAACACAAGCTCTGCATAACTTGACTGGATAGCGCTGTGAATTGTCTAAAGATATTATCATTATCATTCTATTACTGATGTTTGCCATTCCAATTACATAAAATAATTACGACTGATTACCATAGAAGAAAGAAGAACAAATACATAAAAAATACTATTGACCATCATTGTAACAATAATGTCCTTACAGGTAATTCTACACCCAGGGAAATGGAGCTGGAAGGTGGCGAATGCATTGATGTGAAGGTGACAAGCTGATGATAAGAATACAGCATCCATGGACATGTCTAGACATGTCTAGATGTTTTTGTGGATGACATAATTGTAGTACAACACAGCCCATAATATGTTTACACAGGGTTTAGAATATGGGTGAATATTTTATTGAGAGTGTCCTTGTCTGGTGGTTTACTACCCAGAAGTCCATCGGAGACGGCATGAGTTCAAATCTTGGTGACACAAAAACGATTGTGTCAACTTATATTTCTGACTCTCCGGTGAAGAAAATACAATGTCAAACCTAAAGTTAAAGAAAATCATCTTTATTCAAATAAACAATATGAGCACTTTTGAATAGACACATTTTTTTTATTCTACTACTTATACTGAACGCAGACTCATAACAAGAAGAACGTTCAAAAACTTGCATATTGCTCTTTTAAATAATCGTTGTAACTTTACATTTTTAAGTCGAAATGTGTGTATACAAACTACCAACTAGCACTGATTTATTAGTGTCAAATATTATATACAATAACTTTAAATCAGTCTCAGTGATTAGAGCAGACCAGTTCTCGAAACACGCTCGTTCACAAGTATGACGGATGAGCCAGCCGTCGCTTTTCATTGCTCATTCTTGTAATGTGATTTTCCGAGTGAGCGGTATATTAAAAGAGTGATAACTATGACTATTCAAAAGTGCTTAAATTAAGTTTATTTGAATAAAGGATTTTCTATATTCTTGCCTACTACTTGATCTTAGTAAATAAAAGATTGTTGCTGTTCGGTATAAGTACAGATTCATTCAAGTTCATATCAGATTTGACCTACGGAAACCCATTAAAATACTATGGAAATACGAGGCAAGGCAAAGAAATTGAGGGGACAAACAGTTGTCTCGTAGTTTCTATACACAACAGCGGGCACGGCTAGTAATTGATACGCAGTGAATTATCTAAATCTGTACGCTATTTTATTTTGCGCAATTCATTCGTACAATTCGTACAATATGAAACCAAACAAAATTCCGAAAATCCATCGGTAAAACGGTTTTTTTTTATATAAATAGAAATAATCTTTATTCAAATAAACTCAATATAAGCACTTTTAAATAGTCATATTTTTTATTCTACCACTCATTCGGAACGCAGACTCATCACAAGAAGAATGAGCAAGAAACTTGTGTGTTGCTCTTTTAAATAGATGTTTTTTTATATATAAATAATAATAATCAACATAGAAACCGCTACGCACTAATTCTTTGTGCAATCATATAATATTGGTAGCGTTATGAATTTTAACTTTAACGAACTCTTTAATTTTATAATATGCTTTTTTACAAAGGAAGTGTTTTATTCGACACGACGATTCGGGGCTACCCACCCCGGCTTCGCCCGGGTGTACATGTATTATACATATAAACCGTCCTCTTGAATCACTCTATCTATTAAACAAACCGCTTCAAAATCCGTTGCGTACTTTTAAATTATCTATGATTTAAACATATAGGTACAGACAGCGACAGAGACTTTGCTTTATAAAATGTAATAATTTAAATCTTTATATAGATGAGAATGTTGGTGATTCTTGTACGGTCCTATATGAAATTTATTAATAAGCTACCAATATTTTAGGAATATCCATAATTATATTGATGTAGTTATTTTTTTATTTGAACACATTGTTATTAAATGAATTATCTATTTGAATTATATTTATATCTACGACAGGGAGATTGCTACCAATCGCCCGGTGGGTATCTACATTCGATCACAGTTCATTTAAATTATAATCAAACATTTTAAAAGTTATATTGACAAAAACTACTTCCTTGTCGTGTAAATACATGGTAGTGTGTAATATTACCATTCTGCACACCTCTATATAATAATAATAATAATATAATAGCCCTGGACAATTAACACAGCGCCATCTAGTGCCACGGTAAGCAGAACTTGTGTTATGGATACTAGACAAATGATATAAATACTTGGATATATATATATATATATATATTTTTAAATATTTAAAACACCCAGACGTATACAAACAGTCATATTCATGAATACAAATGTTTGCACGTTGCCAGGAATCGAACTCGCGACCATAGGAAGTAAGGCGATGTGCTAAACCGCTACACCGATGCCGTACAAACTATAAGTGTGCGAAATTTCATACTCCTTGATAATTCAACAATAACAATTTTGTTAATCTCCAAAAAAAATGATTAAAATGTTTACGCGTGGTTTGAAAACATAGTATTATGTATTTGTATATAGTGTTGTTATATATTTAATAATAAATAATATTTTGATACATTATCTATGTTATTTTTTCATATTTCTTGCCAAACAAACTGATCGTAAACGGTAACTATCACGTCATCATGTGATATCCGTGATACAGCTCATTTGTTGCCATTCCAGATGTCATGCCTCTTATCATTTAATTTCAAAGCCCAAATCCTATTTTTTCGGACATTCTAATGTATAAAATATATATATTAATAAATATATATTAATTGAATAAATAAAATATTAATTGAATGAATAAAATTGTAATTTACTAACATATTTTATAAGTTGTTTACAACATAATATGGACACATATCCGAAATAAATAAATAAAAAATAATAACAGTCTAAATGATAGGGGCGAGTGCAGATGACACTCCAAACCCAAGGAAGGACTTATGGAGCGGCTGAAGGAAAATTCCCGCCTGACGGATACGAGTTTAGTCTGAGGGCACCGCTAAGGGTTCGAAGCTTGGCTCAGGCCGTCGTAATTTCGATCCCCATTGAATTGGACGGGGGATCGATCGGAAGGGATGCAATCAAGGAATTTATCACGATTTCCAGGAGGAACTGCGTGGGGGTCAACCTGACATGGTACATTGCAATAAGATCATCAATCAACATTGCTGACAATACCCTTGCCCCCCAGTTGATTATATTTATTATTAATTGTGAGAGCATCGTACCGTAGTAGTTTACATTCCTGAATTACACCTAATAGGTCTCGACTTCGAATCTGGCCACAGCAAAGACAACAAACTTTGTATATATCCACTTACATTCTGACTGTCCGGTGAATGAATTTTATTTTACAGCAAAAGAAACAAACGAACTTGCAGCTCACCTGATGGTAAGTGATTATCGCGGCCCAGGGCACCCGCAACACCAGGGGAATTGTAAGTGCGTGAATAAGCACTTTTCTTGAAGGTTTTAATATCGTATCGGTTCGGAAATACAATCGCTGGAAGGTGACTCCACAATGTGGTTGTGCGTGACAAAAAGCTTCTAGAAAATAGAACTGTGGAGGACTGCCATTCATGCAGACGATCAGGATGGTATTTTAGTTTCTGTCTAACTAGTTATTCAAACCAAATTAAAATACTTTTATTAATGTAGGTCTATTATAGACTTATGATATGATAAATCTACCATTAATTAATAAATAGTTATATACCATTATTTTGTTTACGTTATTCGTGTTAAGACCTGATTATCTATACATCTATACATATAAATACAATTGGAGTGTCTGTTTGTAATATTGAAATAACCGTTGTTTACTACATGCATATGAATATAAATACGGTATCTGCATACACCAAAATAACATTTTTTACAATTTTCGTCTGTCTGTCTGTCGGTCTGTTTGTTCCGGCTAATCTCTAAAATGGCTGAACCGATTTTGACGGGACTTTTTTTGGCAGGTAGCTGATGTAATAAGGAAACTTGGGCTATTTTTATTTTAGGAAAATAAAGTTGAATTCCACGCAGACGTAGTCGCGGGTACAGCTAGTATATAATAATACAATATAGACTAAAGTTGTAAACAAAAAAATCTATAAAACAATTTTACCTATTAGAGTTAATCACTCTGAATAAAGTTAGAAGAACAGAGTAGAATAACGATCTAACAGTTTCTGTCATTAGCAAGAATCTATCTGTTGGAGACAGTCAGATTTAAAAAAAAATTAGGGTTGATGCTAGAACGGCGATAATTTAGGGTTGTACCAAAGTATTTTTTTTTACGGATGATAATGGAAATGTGCACCCGCCTGCGCTAACAGTTTACGCTGGCGGGGCACCAGTGGAGGATGATAAGATGAACATGAGGTCAGATAGCGCATCGTGACAAATTCACCAGGAATTCATCACGATGGTTTTCAGGGGGAACCGCGTGGATGTCGACCTGACATGGTACATTGCAGGTAATGGGGTCGTGAGTCCATAGGACTAACAATCCCCTCCCCAACTGTACCTATACTTACCTGTATTTTTCAATTGTAAATCATAAAAAAATAAAATATGACAAAAAAAAGGGGTGGACAACCATTATTATTTAGGGGTATGAAAAATAGATAGTAGCCGATTCTCAGACCTGGTGAATATGCATATAAAATCAGTCAAGCAGTTTCGGAGGAGTATGGTAACTAACATTGTGACACGAGAATTTTATATACCTACTAGCTGTCCCGGCAAAGTTTTGCCTTAAAAAAAAATTTAGGGGTGGACTACCCCTAACATTTAGGGGGATGAAAAATAGATGTTGGCCGATTCTCAGACCTACTCAATACGCTCACAAAATTTCATGAGAATCGGTCAAGCCGTTTCGGAGGAGTATGGGAACGAAAACTGTGACACGAGAATTTTATATATAAGATAAGATATAATATTGTGAAAATTATGTTACCAGAATACTTAAAATAATCTAAGTAGGTATAAAATGAATTCCTTATTCACGGCATACCTAACTTACAAAGGACTTAACTGATATCAAACATCTTTATTTTTATTGTTTACTAATACTTTGTAGAAGGTTGTTACCGAACGAAAACATAAAGAAAATTTCAACAGAAAATTACAATATTTTAGAGCTGTTTTTTTTTTAATTTCATTTATTTGGCAGTTTGCTATTTCACCAGGACAGGACGTCTGTCGAGTCAGATAAATAGTCAATCCTAAATATTATAATAAATATTTTTCGTTTATTATTTTCATTACAATATTGTAAAATCACACTACTAAATTAAACTTTATTATTAATTAGGCAAACCAGAATCTAACATCGTAAAAATTGAAGAAAACAATGCGAAAGCACGGAAACTGCTTAGATGAATAAAGTTTATGCAATCCGTCTCTGTGAGAATCTATATAATACTCTGTAAAAATGTACATGAAATTACAATTTAATTGGTATTTATTCAAATGCAAATATTTATTTCGTAATTAGACACATAAAGGCT